CGAATATTGTCGGTAACGCCCACTTCGAAAGTGTTCACGGGTAATGTTCAAGGCCCTGACAGATTGCTTTAACCCATAACGGACGGCGTGCGCCACAAGGTGGCGCACGACTATTTCTTTTGTTTTTGGAATGTTTCTAGCAATCTTAATATACCCATATATACTCTCAGCAATGTGGAATAACATATCTTCCCAGGACCTGGACGGCTGGATTTTTGACAAACCTACAATAAATTTTACATACATTTTGTCTTAATTTACATAAGTTTACTATTTGATGGGTGGCTTACCCATGGTTCGCACGTCCCGAGACCCCTTCCCCTAAATATAGCCACATCCTTGCTCGGGGTTGTTGTTTCGCATTTTTCGATAAGTTTTGCTTCGCCCGCTATCGCGCGCATCACACGGCAGGCTTTAGCGAAATTGGAGGACCCATGGAATATCAGCATGAGATACTCCATTAACCATCTCACTATTGACTGTGTTAGACCCTCCACAGTTTCACTGAAGCTCATCGAGAATACGCGTGATAACGTCTGAGCTGAACTGGTATATTGATCACAACTCTGTAAACATCCAGCATTTTTCTTGAATTAAGATAATTTAGCGGTGAATAGGATTGCTGTCAGTCTCAAAATCAAAACGAAATATGCCTATTTACATAAGTGAGGAGCTAATGCTTATCATTCATTTACATTCACCATTATTTAGAACCCGAAAGGATTAGCGGTTTAATGAGTTTGATAGTGCATCAGAGATGAAGCTTATCATTTGCTGAAGACTTGTTTAGGTTCATGCAGTCGAATGAATTCTATTAAGTAAGCATACAATTTGTAGGTAGGAACGCTCAGTGTCAACGCTGCGTAACGGAATCGACGACTTTTGCGTTCTGGCGCGCCTTATCGGCCCTTATCAATCGTTATCAGTTTCTGGCACCCACCAACAATGTCCCCGTCCCACCCCACATAACACTTGTAAGTATGGTTGCTCTGGTGTCAACGCGAGCCAGGCAACGGAATCGACGACTTTTGCGTTCTAGCGCATCTTATCAGCCATTATCAGTTGCTATCGCTTCCAATCATGTACCACCAATGTCCCGGGACCGCCCCACATAACACTTGTAAGTATAGACGCTCTTTTACCAATATGAACGGCAAAACGAAATTGGCGATGCTCGCTTTCTAGCCCCTCTTATCAGCTATTATCAGTCGTTATCAGTTCCTATCACGTACCACTTGTGTCCCCATCCCACCCCCTATAACATATGTAAGAACCACTGCGCTATCGTTACTGTGACTCGAGCTATGAATTTCCGGTCAAACACACACACCACCAACAGACACACGCTAGCCGCTTATATATAGTAGGATGTCATCCTAAAGCTTCCATTCATTCTTTGCACCCTAGTTTTAGAGCGGAAAGGCGGGTTACGAACTTGTCGTCAACGGAAATCTCTTCTTTTGGATGATGAGACACGGACACCTGCTTTAGCCCCGTCTTACCCTGCTGTTCGCATAAGCCTACATAAACCCTACCCTGGGTGGCGGCGTGCGCCACATGGTGGCGCACGCGAAAAATACACTGGCCGTCCGTTATGGGTTAAAGGTACCGCGTGGCGTGCGCGCAATAGCGTGCGGGCTAATCTGGCATTTTCAGAAACGTTTACGAGAAAGTGAAGAAATGAACGTGCAAAGATCTCCTGCTGAGAGTTTCAACCACGGCCGGTATGCGCCTGGCTTCACAAATCCGTTAAGGAAACCGTTTAGCTGACTTGGAACGCAGCTTTTGAGATCAGCGTTCCATGGCGTATATATGAATTTATCTGGATGACCAAGGAAACCTAAGGGCCTTTCGTTGTGAGAACCATAGAAGTCCAGAAGGTGGAGGCGGAGTAAGTAAGAGGACGACGTGTTTGCAGTAGTCAAGAAGTGGAAAAGGCCATCAAATGTGATGGTAAGGATTAGAAATCAAAATGAGGCTGTTTGTATCTTGCCGTAGCCTGATAAACTCATGATCTCCTGATGAACAGCTTATGTGAAACAAGCGATTTACCTTAATTCTATTTGAGATCCGAAACAGATTATGAAGCGTTCACAGTTGGCGATCGTGGAACGTGCCGATTTAGGCGGAGTAGTCGATTGAGCGAGAAGGCCGATTAAGCGAGTTAAGGTGATAAGAAGGGTTCGTATTGATTTGTCCTCAGCCATTGAGTTTGATCGCCTAATTTCGACCTCTATCAATCTGGTGAATTGTAAGCCTAAACCACCACGCGAACTATAAAGATATGCACAGTCGGAACCAGGGTGAATATCGGTCGAGGAAATCCTCGACAGGGGGGTCGTACCTGTTGGGCTGGTCCATGGGGGTCGTACTCTTGGGGTCAGTAACAGAAGTGGTATCATGGTGCAGATAGGTAATAGGGTATAGCGCAGCAGAAAATGAAAACATCCGAAAAAAAACATGATATTAAATTTTCTTTGCAGGTTCAGTCGCTCCATTCCTCCACCTTCATGAGAAGGGCGTATTTGAAGGCAGTACAAAGAATGAAAGTGCATCCCCGCAAAGAAGAGTGCTGCCATGTGCGCACGCGCTGCAAAGGCACCTCCTCCGCCTATCACTCGCTCCTTCTCCCTTAATACCTCGCTGAGAATGACGCTGTTGTTAGGGACCCTGTCGGAAAAACGACAACCGTGTGAAGAAAAAGCGCTGGGCAAATGAAGTTGTTTTTTAGGTTACAGGAATATAGCACACTATGTCTACTACAATACAGTTTCGTTCGAAGGTCCCCATCATATAACACCTTTCAATCGATTCTGCAACTGTGAGTGGAGGAGGGATGCATGGCTTATACCAATACCAAATCGGATGATGACGATTGCTCCTATTCTTATTGTTTGCGTTCAAAGATATTGTTCTAGACACATTCCGAGTGTTGCCAACGAGTCACACTTGCAATGGTGAATGAGGGAGCGGATTTCCAGGTGGCCGGATCCGACCTCGATAGATCCTCGACGCAATTATCTCTTCAACCAAAAAGCTGTAGAAGAAAACTAAACAGACCATCAGGAAGCGCAAACCTTCCGCTTTCCAAAACTATCTTCCCTTTTTCAGGATCTTACAATATAAGAGATATATTGCTCTTGAAGTGGCAAAAACTCGCGTGAAAATTTCGGCCTCCTCGACATTTACTCGACGAAATTTGACAGACCCTATCTTTCTGCAAGGAAGGCTTCCAGAGCAATTTCGATGCTTGTTGGAAACGCGAAATCCAGCTCTATCTAACTCTACCTCAAGCTGCTTCAAAGGTTGTGAAATGGAGGAATGCAACCTTTTCATCGAGGGTGTAGATTCGGACGTTTTTTTTGAAATTTCGGCAAATCTGACCCAGTGACAATCGCGCCGCAGCTGCCGTTGAATCGGCCTTTGATACACTCGGCTGTTTTGATATACTCAAGCAAGAATCAAGATTGAATCGCAACCCCGTGTCTTCAGGATTTCTGTGCGTTTCTGAACGAACCTCGCCTTGAGGTCACACAAAGTTAATGCCTCTTTCCTCGAGTCGATATTTCAGTATGTACACAAAAGTATGCAGCGATGGAAGACGTGCATAGATGACAAGATGAAGCGTCCTTAGCATTATTTTGCAGAATTTTTTTTGATTTGTTTTGCAGGATTTATTTTAATTGAATTAATTTGCTCTGTTAGAGGGGGTCGTGCCAGGATCTCGATTTCGGGGGGGGGGTCGTACCTCTGCGACCACGTACTCGACACGATTTTCACCCTGGTCGGAACACGGGTCTCCGGACATCTGTCAACCGTGAGGCTAGGCAATTCAGCGTTTTGTTGTGCTGTCTGGGAGCTCTCACACAAGCGCACTATTACAGAATCTCCGCTTTCTTTACCTCCTTTAAAAGGCTTAGTCCCACTACCACAAAGAACGTCTGCTTTTCCTTCTACACTCTCCCCCTGGTTGACAGAAGCCTTGTATCCCGGAATTACACTACATATGAAGGGACAAAATATATCTCAGATTGTATTAACAGCGGTTAGCGAGTGAAACGGCCATTGCATAGTGAGGCTCAAGCATTGCGTAACTCAGACTATTGCAGAAGCAAGTACCTCTGAATACTCAGATTGTAGCTTCCCAGCAAGTGTTCGTTAGGGAGCCTAGTCAAAAAACTAACAATATACTATGTATGGCTCGGGCGCTCATGTCGCTAGGGGGAGGGTTGTTGAAGTAAGTGAGCCACTTATGGGAACCTGTAAATAAGCCTTAGGGAGGGAATGGATTCTGGGGAGGACGTGAGCAACCTTTGTTCTTCCGGTGTTTCTCCCCTTTCCGGGCTTAGTTCTAGTGCTACGAACCAGCGGTTTTTGAATGTGTGTTTGTATGTCCCCCTGAGGACAGAAGCACCTATGTAGCTCCGTAATCCTGAAGGTTGTTGCCGCAGGCTATCATATGGGTTTCTGGACTGGCGCTATCGCAATATACGGGGGCGTCGTTCAGGACTAAGTCTAGGAGGGGCAGGAGCTTCGGGCAAATGAAAATGACTCACCCATTTTGGAGTCCCTCCTCCGCCGCGTAAAGCTTAGTCCGTTTTCGATAAAAAAATACATGTTTCATGTGGCTTCAAATGCATTGCCATCACACTGCCTCCTTATATTGCGATAGCGCCTCTGGATTTACCGTAAGTGACCTACAGTTGTTGTTTCCCTATTTGTGAGTCAGCAAGTTCATTTGGGGCATATGCTGTTCCAGTAGTACTAGAATATGGAAAGAGCGAAGGGCGCATAATCCAACAAAAAGCTTCGAATAAGGTTTCCATGGAGTCTTACATTTCTTAAAACGTCTTCTATACCAGCTTATAGCACTGCGGTATCTCAGAATGCAGTTGTGTGTTGCTTCGTGAGAAATGGAACAACCAGCCATTCTTTATTGATTTGTATCTGCAAATCTGATACGTTCGCTGAAAAGTATAAAAGCGGTCAGATGGGTGGGTATGGTTCATTTACTAACATGCCGTGCTCTCGGAGCCGAAGCAGAAGCAGGAGCCGAAGTCGAAGAAGAAGAGGCCACAAAAGCCGAAGCAGAAGCGGAAGCTGGTCCCGATCGACGTCCAGACGACGACGAAGCCGACGACGAAGGAGTCGCCGAGGAAAGGACATGTCGCGTAAGTGAAGTGAAGCTCCCTCGTCGATGAGATGACGATTTCTGATGGCTGTGATTTCAGCTGGTGCGGAATCCCATTCGAGACGTCGCCGCAGAAGAAGATCTTCACGACGATCGAGCAAACGCCGAAGCTCCCGACGCCGTTCCAGAAGAAGATCGCGTCGTAGCCGCAGCAGCCGTTCAGCCTCACCTGGCGGCACCACGACGAAGAGAAGGAGGAGGCGTCGTCGCGGCAGCCGTGCATCGAAACGGTAGGTCAACAGTCTTTGGCCGGTGCTCTGAACAGTATGGTTGAGGTTGGTTGGATCAGCGAATCGAACGTATTTCAGATCTGGCCGAAGACGACGAATGCCGAAACGTAACGCTCGTGGACAATTTGTGAAGGGGTAGCCGGGGAGCCTTCCATTCCTACTAATTCCATCAGCTCACGAATAAAGGTTTCCTCGGAATTGGCCTTTGAACATCGCCACAAAACAGAAATGACTGTAGCGCACTGATCAGTGAACAGATTACGAGTGCTGTTCAAGTGCGCTGACTACCTTGCTTATAAAAAGGTTACCGGCAGCTGTGACTTCCTTGGCGATACGGCGCTCTTAGCACAAGTCGGTAAGGACCGAGTCCCCTTCATCCGTCGATCGAGGATCGTCATATGAGTCATATGTCTCTTGTGTGCTACGGGTTCGCTCTAACCAATTAAAAAAGTTTCAAAGATGGGCAGAAAGGTAGGAAAATTAAATAGTTGGCCCATTCAACCTATCAACTCCTGGCAGGTGAAACGCTTCCGGGCGCTATCGCAAGATACGGGGGCATCGTCAAAGACTGAGCCTAGGAGGGAGGCAGGAACTTAAACAGTATAGAGTCTCTCCTTCCCTGCCTCAAGCTTGCTCCCTTTTCAGAAAGTAAATTTTAACCGCGGTTTGAATGCAACTGGCCGCCACAGTGGCGCCGCCATCTGCGATAACGTCCACTTCCCGCGTGAATTCGCGCAAGATTTCTAGGGATAATATAAACTTCGAGATATCAGCCGACGTAGACTACTACTCCACCGGATAGCCCTATGTATGCAACAAAAGCGTCGCACTGTTCCGAAGCGGTCGGTTGTCTCTAACCTAAAGATTCGTCAGGATGGATGATATCATACCAGTGTATTCGGATGGCTTTGCAAGCCCGATTCACGGCACTACAATTGACGAGACGAGCGGATGTGTAGCGCATTTCATGAAAGGATCGATCAACAGGCGAAATGTTTTTATCCCCAGCTAACAGCCCATCCTTATTGAGTCTCCCTGTGCAGGTAACTACCTCATTTATTGAAACCTTCTTCGTGGAAGAGTTCTTCAGGACAATGAATGATGTACGGAATGATTGTGACGTGCTTGTCATTCTGTCTCAACAGCTACAAAAAACCGGCGCTAATCTCGGAAATGCCAGCATTTGTTATGTGCAAAAGCCTTCATAACTACGTTAAACATCACATTTTCTTAAAAAATGTAACTAAAACCTAGGCAGAGTGGAGAGAATCTAGGGTGCGTGAGCGATTTTCATTGTCCTGCGTAAATTCCTGCCCTCCTAGGCTCAATTTGTCCTAGAAAACTGCCACCGTATCTTTGCTAAACGCCAGAGAACCAGGGTCCTGCGGCTCTGTTGCTTGCCAACAAGACAATCGCTATCCGCATGGTACACGCTTTCGTAGTATCGACGACTCGGATGCCTGTGTTATTCGCCTGTAGCCCGCCACTGGATCTGTTTCCTGCGTACGCGAATGCCTTCTGCTGTGTTCGCTTCCTTGCAAGATCAGACCTCGTGAAGTTAGGTGTATGCAAAAGACTGGTTTATGCCACTGTGGCAATGTTCAGAGTTCGACATCTTCTATGCGATTGAACGAGCACAAAAGAAAAAGCATAGCAAATCAGTGCGAGATAGCGAGTAGGGCAATCAAGACGATTACAATTAAAGGCGGCAACTATTGCATAAATATTCTAATTTGGTCATTACTCGCTTATTTGCGGTGTCGCCCTGCGATGATCTTAAATACAAATACTATTCCACACAAACGTCACACACAACCGCTTAGGCGATTTGATATAATAATGAAAAAATTATACACTACGTAAAGATTAGGCGAGTAGGCGATCACTCAATGGGCGGAGGAACAAATCAATGCCTATCCTTCCCTTATCGCCTACTCGCCTGATTTCACGTACGATCGCCAACTATGAACGCCCCATTAGTGTTGGTTCCTTCTCGCCTAATCACCTCCTCTCCGCACTGCGCCGTCAATCTGAAGCCCTGCCTTATATCAAAACATCAACTGTCACCTGGACTTCCACCCTCCCACGGCCACGATTATGTGGTTCCCATATTGTTTATCAAAGTGTTGCTGTCAGCATCCCCCTCCCACACCGCCCACACAGCGCGTGGCTCCTGTACCTTCAACCACACACACTTAAATGTCACCACAACAAGAATTTCAGTCGTAATAAGTTTTAATAGTGGGTAAGCCCAACACCCGAAAACAGAAAGCCTCACTTTAGGTGACACGCCTTGAGGTGTGGCACCTTGCGCTCGTCCGCGCCTGGCAGACGGCGGAGTGCGCTCGGCCGATCTAAAACAAAGACCGTAAGCTTTGCTCCCCAAATATCACCACACACACTCTACACACACGCGTGTAATAAGATTTTGGATAAACCTTCGCCCACAACCTGCGGTTTGCGGCAATGTTTCCACACCTCATCTAATACTAATCTCGGAAAAAAACTTTGTATAACATGGCGTCGGTCCGTCGAGCGCGCAAAATAGATAAAAGAATGAGAACCCCTTCATGGAAAGTCTTATCTGCGCTGTCATCACAAGCGAGAGTAAAAAGCGCAATTTTTGGAATTCTTTTGAACGAGTTCTCTTGTTGTCAACTAATGTATGCTTTGCTGATCCACACTTTATGAAAAAGGGGGGCGGGGAACATCCGAAAGCGGGCCGCCATGGTGGGTGATATAGACTAACCGCCTAAGGCAAAACATCGAGGGAGAAGCCCAAATTACTGCACTATCTCTCCCAGAACCTCTCCCTCCTTAAGAACCTTAGCCTCAGGTCCAAGCGAAGTAATTGGCTCACTCAGTTGAATGACCCCACTACTTGTAAGTGCTGAGCGCCCTGAACGTCGTACTAGCACTATGCTAGTGCCTTTACAACTCTTCCCGTTAAAGTTTCCTTACTAGGGAAGGATGAAGGTCGAAGTGGCCATATGAAATGAGACAAGTATCATGGTATGTGGTTTCGGACGCTGATCTCGAATCTTCTTCCCAAATCTGCCAAACGATTCGCTGAACGGAGTTACGGAGGTTTTTTGTTCCCTCACACAGTTTAACACAGTGAGGAATCGGCCTCAGCAGCAGCGGCTTGTGAACGAAGCAGTGAGCCTCTTTTGATCGGGTGCTTGGTGGCCTAGTGGTCAAGGTGGAGCGCTTGGGTTTCGGGGTCAGTGGTTGGGATCCAGAGCGTGTTTTTGCATTTTTGTGACTGACTATTTGGCAGTAGTGAAACATGATTCCTTCATCATTGGTCAGCCCTACTTGCTTTTGGATGAGTTTGAGGTCGATAACTTCGAAATTTTTCCTAACTTGCATGCCACTACATAAGGTTAAGGCGCGCCAGTATACGGAGCGCGCGCTTCAGCCGTTTTTGAGTGAACGAATGTGAGATCTGTGTTCAAGTAGTCCAATAACTCCTGGGGCCGATTTCTAGAAAAATTCGAGATTTTGAATTAACTTCAAAAAAAGTGGGCGAGTCACTCATTGATGCTACATATCCATAGCCGGTAGTTCCAGGGTTGACCTATTTTGGACGACGGCGACCCTTTAAATTTGAAAATAATAAAATGTGGGTGTTGAAATCATGCGAACAGAAAACAGACACTGCTTTACACTCTTCAGAAACCAAAAAAACTTATATCGTCTCAAGGCTATATAGGTTTCGATGATAGGCTGGTGCATCAATGGACCCTTATTTCGAAATTTGGTCGAAATCTCAAATTTGGCAAACTTGTCTCTAGGGGTATTTCAATCTCCGGAACACGAATATCACACTTGTTTGCTGCAAAAACGTCTGCCAAGAGTTCTGTGGGCTCCATGTGCAGTCTTTAGTAAGTACCGCCGAAACTGATTAGAAACTCCTCGCAAAGTCTTTGCACGGGTAACTACAGGCAAGCATTGATCGAGTAAGGTAGCTGGGAGCCTTTTTCAATCATTTTGCAGCGAAGGCAAAAAAGAGAACCCGCCAGGGAATCGATCCTACGACGTCTCGCACGTGAACCCGGACTACTACCGCTGCACTACTTTCCTTCATAACTCCATTCGGAAAATCGTTTGGCAGATTTGGAAAGCAGATTCGAGATCAGCGTCCAAAAACGCATCCACCGGTGTAGGTCTCTTTACATATGGCCACTTCGACCAACCATCCATTCCTGGTGCAAGCGCGCCCAATCCAGCTGTTTTCTGCATCTCCGTCATTGAATATCGTAATGTCGAAATCGCAGACTTCCGGATTTATCCGCCGGACCTGCACACGCTTTGGTGCTTAACTGTCCTCTACGCGTAAACCCGCGATTTGCCTCCGTTCCGAATTGGCCGCGCGAATTTTGCCGCGTGCCCAATCCGGGACGAAGCCAAAGACGTCGCCCGAGTCCTAACCACCAAGAGATGGCCAGATCTGCAAGAGATACAGGGTCTTATTCAAGTCGAGTTTCAAACGAATATGCATCCAACCTCAATAAATAGTCAATCGTTTATTGTGTGAACAACTGATAAGTTATGTTACAGGATGGACTTGAAGAGATTCAAATCAGCAAGTAATTGTGTAAGTAGGAGTTGGTGTTGAGCTGCACGCTACCACATCACCACGATAAAGAACTCTCCAAGTTGATGATAAAACTGCTATTGTTAGTTGCTAAAGATTAAGAAAAACTACATGCTTAGATTATGAGACATCATTCAATTTGAGTACATTGTCGACTATTCATAGGCAAGCATTAAATCGTGCAGCTGCCTGACGCCATTCCGGTACTGTAAAGCCTGATCGGAACTGCTCCTCCATTGCCTTAAAAGAACAACAAAATAGGGCTCAACTTAAACCAAAGAAAAATGAACTTACATTAATGGCATTATCCCAACCGGGTAGACGGTCGCAGCTGGGGATATTGAGGAAATCATTAAAGATGCTTTCTAGGAGAGGGCGAATGACAAGACGTCTGAAATTGAAAAAGTAAAGCAAAAAAACGAAGCGAGAATCCATAAACAGAATAGCTATCGAATGTAAACACTAACCTCTTCATGGTGCTCTGCAGTTTGAACACACCATCTTCTTTCACGACTTCCGCATATTTGTTAAATATAATCACATGCAGAGTTCCAACAAAGCCAAAATAATCAGTCTGGTATGTCCACGGGCGACCATCCTAAATGCTTTTCTGCTTTTGTAACAAAAAATGGATGCTAAATCAGTAAGGGAAGCGTTGTGTACTAGTTTCTGCCCCCTTACAGTAAACCCCTTCCCACGGAAGGAACTCCGAGGTAGTTTTGAAAGCCTGGCTGCCACGGAATCCAGTATTACTTGAAGTGGCCGAGTAAAGTGTGCGACGGGGAGGACACGGGGCAGCATGTACGAACACAAATGAGCTAAGCCGATCCCTACTTACAATGCGGGATGCACCGAACGAATTTCGAGTATACCTGAAACATCATTGCGCGGTGCCAGGTGGGAAAATTTGGAATTCATTCCCAAAACAGCCAAATGAATACGTGAAAAAAATAAATAAGGTATCGATTGATTTGCCAGCCTGAGTTTGGGAGATGCACCTACGGTGGACGAAGCTCTCCAAAGGGGGTGCTTGATAAAAGCATTCACAACTTGGTTATAAGTCAGTATACAAAGCAGAAAAAAATGGCTTAGAAAAATGTTGCCTAAGGTGTTCCGAGCTCACTCGAAGTGAGCGGAGGCCTGGGGCCAATGGGTGAAGCATGTCCTCAAGCGGGTGGCGTATTCTTCGAATCTTCTCAATCTAGTTTGGGAAGTCCCACAGATCGGGAAAAAGGTGGATAGAGTTCGACGAAGGAGGGGTCATTCGCTTTTGATGTGCTGGCATACACCCAAGCGAGTGGATTTTGTCATAAAACATAATTCAGCTCCCACATGGCCTGGATACTAGGGAAGCTGAGGTTGGCGAAAGATGGAAGTTCATTCGCTATTGGAGTGTGGAGCGTACGCCGAAGTGGACGAAGCAAAAATCCAAACTTGACCAAACGCTAAGGAAACTGGCTCTAAACCGCAAAAAAGCAGTCAAAGAAAACGAGAAGGAGAGATTCAAGCCCTCCTAGAGGGCGGAGTATGCACCGTGGTGAACGGCCAAAGCTAAAATTTGATTGCCCTAGTCGCTCCAGCTGAATTCACGTGCGACACCCACGTTAGTTGCGGAGTCACTCTGGTGACGTAAAGGGGGAACAGATGGGACGGTGGAGTTGGTTGCTACCTTCAAGGATCAAATTTCGAGATTGAATCTCTTAAAGTAAACATTCTAAAGGAATATTATTTATTGAATGAAATGAAAGGTATCTATGTATACAAGTAAGACAGGTCGCTACGGTATGTGAACATCCGATGCGTGCTTCGAAGCTGTTGATTACACTGCTGTAGTTATCTGTGCTCAACAGCTTTTGCTGGCCCAAAATTAATGTGTACGACCAAACGTCCGCCTACATTGCAGTACTTTTCTC